TTTTTCTTTGCCTGGTCTTGCAGTTGTTGAATTGCTATTTCCTGGTCCTTGTTATTTTTAAGAGATCCCTCCTTTCATGTTCATTGATGGCAATGCTGTCTTCAAGGTCTGAAAGTCTATCTTCAGCTTTGTTCAGGTGGTTTTGCAAGCTTTCAATGGAATTTTTAAGTTCCTGGATATCTGTTTGCATCTGTTCCATACCTTCTGGTTCTTTTGTATATTGTTCCCTGAAGGTTTCACTGAGTTGTCTATGCTCTTCTATTTTCTTGTCTTTGTCATGTGGATATGCTGAACATTTCTTTCATTATTGTTGTCATTTCTTTTCTCATCTGAGACATTATTTCTGACCTGATGTCTTCTGTGGCATGATGGAGTTGTTTCTTCACTTCAGTTGCTACCATTTCAGAAATTTCGTGTGTATGGCTTCCAGGCTCTTCTGTGTTGCTGCCTCCTGGACTTGTTTTGGGTGGTGTGGAGATCTGGGATTGCATTTTTCTCCTTTGTTTTGCCATTTTTGAGGATCCAGAGACTCCCTGTAGTGCAGTCTCACTGTCCTGATTGTGTGTGAATGGCAGGGTGAGAGTCTGAAGATCCCCAGTGCTCAGTGTAGCTCCTGTGCTGGTGAGTGGTGGCAGCCCAGCCTGGGGTTACATGCTATGGGTGTGGTGTGTAGCCACTGAGACCCCAGAGGGTGCATGAGGTTTAGACCAGCCTTCCACACTGGTCAAGAAGGCAGAGCCCAGACTCACCAGGCTTCCTGCAGATGTCCAGGGCTCAGCCCAGCCCAGCCCAGCCCAGAAAGACACACTATGGGTGTGGCGGGTAGCCACCGAGGCCCTAGAGTGTGCCCGAGTTTTTGCCTGCCTTGCACACTGAGCAAGGCAGAGCCCGGCCTCACCAAGCTTCCCGAAGATTTCCAGGGTTCAGACCATTCTGGGGGGGACACACTGTGGGTGTGGCAGGCAGCCACTGAGGCCTCAAAGGGTGCCCAAAGTTTCTTCTGCCTTGCACATTGGTCAGAGAGGCAGAGCGCAAATGCACCAAGCTTCCCGCAGATGTCCGGGCTTCAGCCCAGCCTGGGGCAACACACTATGGGTGTGACGGGCATCCACCAATGCCTGGAGGGTGGCTGAAGATTCTTCTGCCTTGCACGTTGGTCAGGGAGGCAGAGCCCAGACTCACCGGGATTCCCAAAGATGTTCGGAGTTTAGCCAAGCCTGGGACGACACACTGTGGGTGTGGCGGGCAGGCACTGAGGCCTCAAAGGGTTCCCAAGGTTTCTCCTGCCTTGCACGTTGGTCAGGGAGGCAGAGCGCACACAACCAGGCTTCCCAAAGATGTCCAGGGTTCAGCCCAGCCTGGGGCGACACACTATGGGTGTGGCAGGTAGCCACCAAGGCACTGAGTGTGCCTGAGGTTTCTCCTGCCTTGTGCACTGGTCAGGGAGGCAGAGCCCAGACTCATCGGGCTTCCTGAAGATGTCCGGGGTTCAGCCCAGTCTGGGGGGGACACACTATGGGTGTGGCAGGTAGCCACTGAGGCCCCGAGGGTGTCCAAGGTTTCTCCTGCCTTGCACGCTGATCAGTGAGGCAGAGCCCAGACTCACCGGGCTTCCCAAAGATGTCTGGGGTTCAGCCCAGCCTGGGGTGACACACTATGGGTGTGGCGGGTAACCACCGAGGCCCCAAAAGGTGCCCAAGTTTTCGCCTGCCTTGCATGCTGATCAGGGAGGCAGAGTGCAGACTCATTGGGCTTCCCGAAGATGTCTGGGGTTCAGCCGAGTCTGGGGTGACACACTATGGGAGTGGCGGGTAGCCACTTGTTTGCTCTTAAACTTGGCAGAAAAATTAGTAGAAGTCAACAGCATGGAAGAACAAGAATAAATATTTCCATTTAAGACTTGGAAAGTAACCTGGACAGAGGATGCTAAATCAAGCGTATGGGTTACAAGTATCATTTGCGTGTCCATTCATTAATGTGATACATGTGTGCTACCCTTGCCCTGATTCTATGTAACCTCCAGCAAGTTGTTTTAAATGAAACTTGACATTTGAGATCAGTTGTGCATTAGAATCTTGGCATTTCAATGTATGGGCAATTCATGTAATTTTACGAAATCTATCTTAAAATACCTACTGACAGGATGCTTCATAAATAAAATGAGATAAAGTAAGGCCACCATTACTAAAAAATAACAATCATAGCTTATGTTTATTGGGAACTTCCTAAGTATATCATCTATACTCATTCATTTACTTCTCCCACAAATCCTATTATCTCTATTTTATGGTTAAGGAACCTGCGATGCAGTACATAGGCATTCTTTGAAAATTCTCAAGCACATTAAACAAATATTTTAAATGAATATATTTGGTTATTAATGGACTATATTTTAGAGAAATTTTAGGTTCATAGGGCAGAAGGTGTAGAGTAGTGGTGGTGACCCTATTGCATGCATGTTATTTTCCTCTTAAGGCAAAAGATATTAATGTATGAGTTATTTTTTCTAAACGAAAACCTCAGGATTCAGCTTTAATTGCAGTGTTGGCACTTTGTGATAAATAAGTGGGTTTTGGGTTGCAGTTTGGATGCTCATGTCAAAAAGATCTGCCATCATTAGTATAGAAAAATCCTATATCCCCCCCATCCCCAACATACATAGCCTCGACCATTATCAATAACCCCTACCAGAGTGATACATGTGTTACAACTGATTAACACATTGACACAGTATTATCATCCCAAATCCATAGTTTACATGAAGATTCACTATTGCTGTTGTACATTCTATGGGTTTGGACAAATGTGTAAGAACATGCAATGCTTACAATTATAGTATCTTACACAGTAGTTTCATTGCCCTAAAAATCCCTTTTCCACTCTCTGTTTATCCCTCTCCCTCCTCTAACCCCTATGAACCACTGATCATTTTCACCATGTCCATAGTTTCCCTTTTACAGCATGTTGTGTAGTTGGATTCATACATTTTATTGTCTCTTCAGCTTGATCTTTTGTACTTAATTGTATGCACCTAAGTTTCCTCCAAGCCTTTTCATGGAATTGATTGCACATTTTGTCTTAGTGCTGTATGATCCTGTATTCCACTACCTGGATGTACCAAAGATTTTTTTACCCACTCACCTCTGAAGAACATGTTTGTTGCTTCCATGTTTTGATGATTATGAATGATGCCCATGTATGCATTGTGTACAGGTTCTCCATGAACATAAGTATTTACTTTTTTTAGGTAAATGCCAAGGTATGCAACTGCTAGATTTTATGGCAAGAGTTTTTTTAGTTCTGCAAAAAAAAAATGTTTTCTAAAGTGTCTGTACCATTTTGTATTCCTACTACCAATGAATGAGATTCAGTTGTTTCACATACTCCTCAGCATTTGGTGTGGTCTGTGTTTTGGAGTTTGGCCATTCTAATTGTTGTTAGTGGTCTTTCATTTTTGTTTTAATTTGCGTTTTCTTGATGACTTTATGATGTGGAGGATCTTTTCATACTGGTTTGACATCTGCATGTCTTCTTTAGGGAAGTATGTGTTAAAGTCTTTGGCCCAATTTTTAAATCAGATCCTTTGTACACATATTCTTGAATTTTAAGCATTCTTGCATATTTTGGATAACAGTCCTTTATCTAAGTCTTAGTCACTTTTCTGTCAGTGGGACAAAATACCCAACACCTACCACTTAAAGGAGAGGAGGTTTGTTTTGGGTTATGGTCTTTAGAGGATTCATTCTATAGTCAGGGGTCTCCAAAGCAGAAAGGGCGTGGTGGAAGGGCCTGCACAGAGGAGGACAGCTGTTCATCCTGTAGTAGCCAGGAAACAGAGAGAGAAAGGAGGGGCCAGGGAAGGATATACACCCTTCCAGGTCGCATTCCTATTGACCTCGCCTCTTTTGAGCAAGTCTACCTTCTAACACCACATTCAGCTATGAACTCAGCAGTGGATTAATCTAGTCCCCCCGCCCTGTGGTCCCATCATCCTCCAAAAGCTCACTTCTGAACATACCAGGTTTTTGCAAGGAAGTTCTAGATCTAAATCATAACAATCTGATGTATATTTTACAAATAGTTTTTCTGTGGCTTTTGTTTTTTCATACTCTTTACAGTGTCCTTTACAAAGCGTAACTTTAAATTTTAATGAAGTACAGCTTTTCCATTATTTCTTTCATGAATCATACCATTAGTGTTACATTGAAAAGGTCATCCATCATACCCAAGGTCATATGGATGTCCAATTGTTCTAACACTATTTGTTGAAAGACTTGTTTCCGTTGTATTGTCTTTGCTCCTCTTTGCAAATGAGTTGACTTAACGTAGATCTATTTTTGGGCTCCCTATTCTGTTTCATCAATCTATTTGTTTATCCTTTACCCAATACCACAGCATCTTGATTACTGTAGTATTATAGTAAGCCTTGATGTCATTTATTGTCAGTTCTCCAACAATTTTTTCTCCTTCAAATATCCAATTGAATTGGGTATTCTGGTTTTTTTTGCTTCTCCATATAAACTTTAGGATCAGTTTGTTATTAACCAAATAACTTACTGAGATTTTCATTGGGATTGCATTCAGTTTATAGATTAAATTAGAATGAACTGACATCTTGAGTCTTCATATCCATGTTCCGTGTGTTTAGTTCTTTGATATCTGTCATCAGAGTTTTTTTGCTTTCCTGTTATACATCATATACATATTTTGTTAGATTTATATTTAAGTACTTTTATGCTAATACAAATAGCATCATGTTTTAAATCTCAAAGTCTATTTGCTGGCATATAAGAAAGCTGTTTACTTTTTTGTATTAACCTTCTATCCTGCAATTTTACTGTAATTGCTTATTAGTTCCAAGAGTTATAAAATGATGATTTTAATTCTACCCGAAATATACTGTACTTTCCTCTATCAGTTTGATCTAAGTCCAGAAATGCTAGCCCCATTTTCAATCTAAATCTCCATATGCATCAACATTTTCTCTTTTGCCCTCCAAGGTGGTCTGAGGATACCATGACGGTCACAGTGGTATATGATAACTCTGAGGCAACGGAGCTCTGTGCTGCTCAGCACCTCTACCTCAAGCCCATAGCAAAATTGATGATCAATGTATTGCTCCCAGAAAGTATAGAGCCTGTGAGGCCCTTCTCTAACTGGGAAGTTCTTGACCAACTAAAGAGTCTCATTTGCCCTGACCAGTTCACCACAGTTCGCCTGTCTAAAAGTACAAAGGACTTCATTCGATTTGAGGGTGAGGCTGAAACCCGAAGTTTGATTCAAATCCTGAAGGCAAAGTTACATGGGAAGATCATCAAACTAAATGGTTTGAAAACAGACTTAAAAGTAGTGGCTACAGATGCTCAGGGAGAGTGGGAACACTTCCCTAAGGAAAAAGAGGCCTCATTAAGTGATGGAGCTGAAGAGCAGGACCATGATAAGAGCCCAGATTCCATATATTTTGAAGGCTTGCCCTGTAAATGGTTTGCTCCTAAAGGTTCCAGTGGGGAGAAGCCATGTGAGGAGATCCTTCGGGTAGTCTTTGAAAGTTTTGGGAAAATCAAGAATGTGGATATCCCTATGCTTGACCCCTACAGAGAAGTGATGACTGGTGGGAACTTTGGGAGTTTTAGCTTTGGTCTGCAAACTTTTGAGGCCTTTATCCAGTACCAAGAGTCAACAGACTTCATAAAAGCCATGGAGTCACTTCGAGGAATGAAGCTGATGCTTAAGGGAGATGATGGGAAAGCTCTGGCATGCAACATCAAGGTAAGAGGCAGCTAAACATTACTTTCCACTGCTCAAGTTGTCCTCAATGAAAGTTGAACAGAAGCATCTGAAATAAATTTCCTTAGAGGTCATCAGGCTCTGATCAATAGCTGAACCTTTACATTTGTGATTAGTAAATGGATGTTTAAGAAGGAAACTACCTTGATTTGAACTCTCAGTCTTCTGCTGTCAGACATTCCACCTGTGATTTTAAAGTGATGGTTGCTGTAGTCTGGGGCTCTGCCTTAGCTTCCTGTAGACTTTAAAGGATTATTTGTGGCCTTTATGGAACTATTTCATATACTTACTGTGTTTAACAAGTTGCTGAGAGAAAGGGAAAGATGCAGTCTGAAACCACAAGGACCCCAGTCTATTCAATTATGACTCCTGGAATCACAATTTATGTTTTCAGGATGTCTGTCAGAGAAACTACCAAAACATAATCTTAAAGATTGTGGAACCTGGGGCTGGGGATATATCTCAGTGGCACAAGCGCCTACCTGGCAAGTGCAGGGTCCTGAGTTCGATTCCCAGTACAAAAAAAAAAAAAGATTATGGATCCTTCACTTTGAAAGTCTGCCTGTCTGTCCAGTCAAGTCACCTCATGGATGCCTGCATGCTTTGGTCACGTCCTTCTTGAAGTCTTACCCTAGCAGTGGGAAAGATGTGATGACTCAGTTCTGCTTTTTCTCTGAATCAATCTTTAGTATTCATTTGGACTTACAGCTACCGGTGGATGAGTGTGCATGTGTGGCCACTTATGTTAAAATGTGTATTTTTAAATTATGAGATATTCAATCAGACAAAAGATATAGGAAATAGTATAACTATCCATATACTACTCCCAATTTTAAAAAAAGCATTACCAGTAAGATGAGAGAGTACTCCCCTCTATGTATCCATCTTCAGTCATGTTCCCCTCCCTCCCCTTGAAAGTAACCGTGGTTAGGAATTTATTGTTTATCTTCCTCATACATATTTAAATAGGTACTCTTGCCTCTTTTTATTTTTAAAGCAAATTATTTCTCTCAATCACTTTATTTCCAGATTTGAAAACTAGCTTAGTAATGATGATGCTCAGATCTTCTCTCTTATTAAGTCACTTTTCATGTATCTTTGCTTCCTGCTCTCATTCCCTACCATACTTGTTGACTACTGTTTATCTTTGTTGATTTAAAAAAATATATTAACTCTGTTGATTTCTCTGTGTGTGTGTGTGTGTGTGTGTGTGTGTGTGTGCATGTGTGTGGTACTGGGGATTGAACCTAGGACCTTTGTGCTGATGTCCAGCCCTTTTAATTTTCATTTTGAGACAGTCTTGCTAAATTCCCTAAGTGGAATTTGAACTTGGGATTCTCTTGCCTCAGCCTCCCAGAGTGCTGGGATGACAGGTTTGCACCACCACATCAGGCTTAACTCAGTTGATTCTTATAACAAACCAGAGGTGCAATACCTTTCTAGCCTGTGCATATGCTAACACTGTGATGTTACCTATGGCCCTATGTAATGTAAACTTCTCAAAGTTTTAAAAAGCATCTTTATTGAGATATTACAGACAGATTAAATTGTGTGAAGTGAAAGCAATAATTTGATAAACTTGTTTAAGGGTTCTACCAAGAAAATCTTGGTGTCCACAGGTACTGTTTAGACAATGTCCAAGAAGCAGTGGAACAGCATAGGTACTGGAATGCAGAGAAGGCATTCTGAACTCACTCGGTTTAGAGTTATCGTGTACCATAGTGCTGTTAGTTCTCTGGCCTGAGACATACCAAGTCAATTGAAAAACCTTTCTAATTAAACTCTAAACTGTTTGGAGACAGGTTATGTTCGATACAACCAAACACTTCAGTGAAGGAGCTATACGGAGGAGAAACCAGGAAAGGCTAAAATTACAACAGCTGGAGGAAGAAAGAAAAAAAGAAAAAAAGAGAGAAGAGGAAGTAGCTGAAAGGTGAGAAGACTGAATTTCACGAAGAAGGTTTTTCTTTTGTTTTCTGGATTAATCCTTTTGGGTGAATACCTACCTAGACTTTATAGATAACATTGGGGTGGGGGCAGGTACTGGTGCAGATTTGAAAACTCCCTTGAAGGCCACAGTCTTCCAGTTGTGCTGTTATAAAACCAAAATGATGAAGCAGTTGAAACAAAGAGACTGAAAATATATTTGTAGGGTAAAACAAGTACTAAGTAGTGATGGGACTAGTAAGATTAAGATGTCTACAAGGCATGATTTTTAAAAAAAAGAACCAGATCTGCTGCCTGTGCTGATGGTTGGGGAGAGGACACTAACTGGTTGTGGGGTCCCAATGCTCTGGGAGGCTGGAGAGAAAAAGCTACAAAGAATGGCTTTCACCCCAGACGGCTCACTTGAGATGTTAGTAAGAATTGCCTCCTCAGTATTCTATAGCCATGACGAGGAGGTGGCCAAGGAGAGAAAACAAAGAGACCGAGAAAAAGCAGCTGCTTTTGCTGCAGCACTAAGAGAAACAGACCCCAAGTCCAATTCCTGGGGCCCCAAGAAGAACTCAATGACTGCATTCATCTGTTACCACTGTTAAAAGCCAGGCCACCTCAAGAGGAACTGCCCTAAGAGGCCCCATAGGCCATGCCCTGAATGCAAAGGGGACCACTGGAGATCGTTCTGCCCTCTGAAGTGGAAGCCCCAGAACTCAGACCCATCCTACCAGTTAGTCCAACAGGAATGAGAGG